ACTAACTTATAAAAATCCATTAAGTGAGAATGCAGGTTGGCTCGATAAAGGAGGGGCTGATGGTTTAAATATAACTGACAGTAATAGCTTTTTTGATATTTTACTTCCTCTCAGTATAATATTAGGTTTCGCCGAAGACTATCATAAGATAGTTGTTAATGAAAAACATGAACTTACACTCACAAGATCTGGAAATGATTTAAATGCAGTCCTACAAACACAAATTTCTGCATAGGATGTGAATGCTGCAGCAACTTGGGAAGAGTTTAAGATAGTAATATTGAAGCTAGAATGGCTTATGCCCTACGTTGTAATGTCAGATTCTTATAAAATTCGCTTACTTAATTATCTTTAAAAAAAAAAATTTGTATCTATAAGTTATCGAACTTGGGTGCTGTATGAATATCCGCTACTACCTACTACATCAAACACATATGGACAGTCAAGACTTCTAATCTGTTGGAAAAGCCACTGTATGTTATTTTAGCTTTTCAAACGAATCGAAAGAACCAGAGAGCTAGTACTGCTAGCAATTTCGATTACTGTTCTATAAAAAATGTTAAACTTCATCTTAATTCGCAATATTACCCTCACGGTGATCTCAATCTCGATATAAGACACAATCAGTATGCATTGTTGTGTGATATGTACGCTAATTTTCAAAATTTATATTTTAGTAAGGATCGTGCCCCTTTGTTAAGCAAATATCAGTCTCTTACCCACATACATTTTGTTGTCATTGATTGCTCCAAGCAAAATGAATCACTAAAAAATGCTCCAGTAGAGGTGCGTTTAGAATTTAAATCTCATGAAAATTTTCCTAACCACACATCAGCCTATTGCTTAATTCTACACGATCGCATTATCCAGTACAGTCCAATAAGTGGGGATGTTAAGAAACTTATGTAGAATGTGGTAAGGGTATAATCGTTAAGACGGTAATAGTGTAGAGCACAATAAAAGAAGCTAGAGTCAGACGATAAGCTTATTTATTCGCTAGCAACCTCAGGGTAAAGATCGACATGTCACATAAGCCAACCAGTTGTAACTTAAGTAGCAACGTGAAATACGAAAAACTTTCGTTTAAGGATGGTGATGATAAAAAAGAAAAATCTTGGATAAAAAGTACTCAGATAGCAAAAAATTCGTTCCTAATCGAGAAAGTTATGAAAAATTTAAATAAATGGACTAAATAGTTAATGTGCAGGGTTTTCAACAGCCTGTCAATGACTTTGTGTTGAAAGAGTTAGCTGTAGTTATATTAACTAAAGACGTTTAACCTATTGCGTTTACATTCAAGCAACCATTTCCTTGGAAGAGGCTCACTGACAAATACAAAAGAGAAAACACTTGACTACAATGTACTAATCATGCACTACCATGGGATACAGGTGAACTACCATATAATACCATAGGTAAAATCCTCAGAGAGTATCTTGTTAGTGCACGCAAAGTGTAGCAGGTTTTATGCAAAAAAATGGTTAGAGCGATTTGAATTTAATGTTTGTAATATTATGGAGTTTGCTTATCCACCGATGAATAAAATTAAAATTGTGACAGTTTATAAAAATCATAACGAATTCTATAAAACAAATTGTGCTCTACATAACGTTGAGCTATTTAAACACTATATTCTAGCAGTAGAGCTAATGAATCGGGAGTAAACATTTAATGGAGAGGTGAAACAATGGCTGTACCTCACAGGTGAGAGCGTGGTTGGGGCTCTCATCATTACAGGGAAGGGGGGGGGTGTATACTGTAACAATAGAAGCAGTGCTACCCGCTCGAATAGCATAGAAAAAATACTGGGCATACGGTTGAATAAGAGGACCATGTAAGTCCCCGTATATTAAGGCTCAAGGCATCAGCTTATTGCTAAATTTTATATGATCACATTATCCAGTACAGTTCATTGAGTGGGGATGATAAAAACTTACGTAGAATGTAGTGGAGCTGTACTTTTTAGGATAGTAATGGGGTGGATCATTATAAAAGAAACTACAGTCAGACGTTCAGCTCATTCATTCACTAGCAACCGCAGGGTAAAGATCTATACGTCACATAAGCCAACCAGTAGTAACTTTAGTAGCAACTCCCGTAAATCAAGGCTCAAAGCTGGCGCTGTTCCAGCTCCCGCGTGAGGACTGGCTATAAACTGTGCTAGGAGACTAACACAAGATTGTTCCAGCTCCCGGGCAGGGACTGGCCATAAACTGTGCTAGGAGACTAACACAAGATTGTTCCAGCTCCCGGGCAGGGACTGGCCGTAAACTGTGCTAGGAGACTAACACAAGATTGTTCTAGCTCCCGGGCGGAGACTGGCCCTAAGCTGTGCTAGGAGACTAACACAAGAGTGTTCCAGCTCCTGAGCCAGAACTCGCCCTAAACTGTGCTAGGAGACTAACACAAGAGTGTTCCAGCTCCTGGGCCAGAACTCGCCCTGTTTACCTACTATATATACTAGTTGGGGCTAACGTCCCCCTGCGCGCAATGCGCGCCAACCCCCTAACTTTCGAATATTTTATAAGAAATACATTTTTACAATTTTTGTGTATTTATTCTTATTTATTCTTAACTTTTTCAGTTACACAGTAAAGTGATTGTTGGAAAATGATATCACCACGTCAAATTTTTAGTGGAAATTGGTGATTCCTGATACATTAAGTTATCTTGAAACATTCAAGTTATTGTCTGAAATAAAAAAACACGTAAACTTTTTTCATAAAATCCAATATTCTATTCATGTTAATTAATGATATTAAACATATTTTTACTTACAGTTTTGTGAATGCTTTTATAATGTCTTAATAATGAATCTTTTCTAGAAAATTTTTTTCCACATTCTAAGCATACTATATTATCATCAGACTGATGAGTCATTTCATGTAGTCGTAAATGTGTTTGTCTCTTAAATTTTTTTCCACAGATAATACACGGTAAAAATTTACCATTTTTATGTTCCAATGTATGTCGCAAATAATGACTTTTTGATTTTACGATGATGTTACATTCTTTACATTCAAAAAATAAATTTTTATGCTTCTTTTTATGATCCATTAATTTTTCCTTATTACCAAAAACATACGAGCAATATTCACATTTAAGTAAGTTAATCAAAGCGGTGGGGGGTTTGTGTGGAATGCCCCACTGAGTTAACTGTATAATACAGGAAGATATATACATATATATATGCAAGCCAATGCTGCTTTTATGCTTTCTGTTTTAAAAAAAGTACACCTAACTTGGCACAAGGAAATGAATATGTTGTGCTTATCTGTTTATACTTTTTTATTTTAGTCACCTATACGTAAGTACCTTGGATAGCGTTTGCGAAAGAAATTCTGCCAAACGTGCCCCAAAACGTGAACTATAAATATACCTATACCATCTCTCTCTCTCTCTCTCCCTGTAGCAGACATAAAAATTTGGTTAAGTTGGTAGCGCGCGTGAAAATCATCAAAAGGCTGCACGACTGACATTTATTTTTGAAAGCAGTCCTTAAAACTGTTCGCAAAATACCGTGACGGGAGTGTTTGTTAGATCGCGTTTTTAAGTTATTTTTCGAATAGCGTACGCGAACATCTATTGGGTATAGCGTACACGAACACATTGACTGGTCAAACCTCGCTTACGCTGACATTGGAAAATGTTGTAGCACTGGCGAAAGAATTTTCTTGGTTAGCGTACGCGAAATCGTCTCTAACGATCTGGCGTTTTTAAAACCTTTGCACACGCTCCAGTTTCCTTTAGCCACTTTCTATATCAAACTCCATGTTTGATAACAAACGTACTACGGTTGTATATAGAAAAAATAAATAAAAGTGCACAATTATCTTACACAACGTATTTTTATTGACAATATACACACAGCAAGTTTGCAATATGTGCATAACATTTTCCTAAATTAAATGATTATTAAATTTGCGAAAATAAATTGATAGTGCTGATAAGAATTACAAAAATTTACATATGAATAGCAAAAAGAGAAAATAGACCAATCTTGTATGGAAATAATTTTTTATCTTAATTTCAACACTCTTAAACAATTAAACAGATACCCATTATGGTAAGTGCAATTATTAGCCCAATACATATTTAATACTTTGTTGATTTAATACACTCTCAAGAGGCGTGTAATAAAAACATCACTTTAACAACTACGCATTTTTTGTGTAATATTATCATAAGATGATGCAAAAATAATTAAGTAATAATGAAAGGATGAAGTGCGATGGCATGTTCTGAGCAAGCATGAAGAAATTATCATAACAACTATTTTACCAGATCACAAAGCACGTAGAATACTGAAACGCATTCTAGTCTAACAGCATTTTTATATTAATAAAATTTTTGAATAGGTTTGCAAGTGCTAACAATTAATATCAATGATTCAACATCAGTGAAGTTAGATTTAATGAATGCAATAATACTATTGGCAATTAGTACGGTTACTGAAGATATTCGATGTACTATTACACGTACATACAGTTGTCTGTACTGCACAAGGGGACAACTTATTATGACGGTTACACGTGCATGATACAAGTAGTTCACGTACAGTCCACATGTATTCTATGTGTAGTGTGTATAGTTAACTACACGTGTACATATGCTGAGTGTAATGAGAAACAGTCTACTGCAGCCTCGCGCTCGTGTTAAATACGCCCATACTTGCAAGTAGACTCAGCCCTCCATGCTCAACGTACTTTTCTGCCCTAAGGTGCAAAGTGATTTGTCGGGCGCAAAGTATGTCCTTTGGACGCTCAAGTTTGTACTTTGCACCCTAGGGACGTAATATACTATTTTTGAAAGAGTGGCAAGATGCGCAACCCAAAAAGCACTGTATACAGAAACTGATATTTTTTGAGTTTAAGATTAAATAACATATAAAAATTAGAGACAGTTGACAGACTTGAAAATAAGACATAACATATATGTTATTAAACTAACTCTTAAATTAAAACTACTTATGGATTCTGTCATATGTTTTTATTCCTTACCGATCTAAATTGATCTTCATCGATAGTATTGCTTTGAATGTTCATGGTGTCCTAACAATAAACAGTTTAATTTTTATCTAATTTAATCTAAATCTGAATTTGTCTGAAGCATCTATCTGAAAAATAAAATAAAATAGTTAATACTTATATACAAAAGTAGTATTAAAGTTATACTTTAAATTTATAATTATTTAAACCATAATAATTTTTTCGTCTGTAAATACGAAGTTATTGAGAATTTGAGTTAAATTGAAACTACGGTTTCACAGATTACGTAGGTAACTTTATTATAATTGTTTCGTGGAAAGCTTCTTTCATAGTCAGCTCAGGCCTACTTAAAGAGCCAGAGTTAAGAACAGGGATGAGTAGAGATGAATTGTGGAGTTACATTATTTATGCTTACAAGTTCGGTTAAAATCAAGTAGTTAATAGACAACAAATAAAGTAACGATTAACCAGGTGCATGAACTTACAAAACGATAACTAGTCAAATAAATATTAAATATATCAAAAAGATAAAATAAAGACTTTGTCGAAGCCCCATTGACACATAAATTTTTTTGTATCATCTTAAGAAATTTAATATCATTTTAATAATTTTTTGGGAGGTATTTTCTATGTTTACTCTGATACTTGTATTAAAACGAATCATCAACGTTTATTAGATATAAAACTCCATAAAGTTTAATAAAAAGGCTTTTTAGGTGTTCATAAGTTCGCATTTTCAGACTGTGTTTTATAGAAAAACTTAAATAAAAATTGCTAGCTATGGAACAAAATAACAATACATAACTGTACTAAAAAGAATAATTAATAATATTAAGATTTAGGCTACGAATTAATACTGTCTTATTTTAACTACGTGTCTCTAAATTTCATTTGTCTAGCTTAATTTTCCTAACTTAGGTTTATTTACCATTAACGCCAAGTTGAGAGATTAATAAATTGTTAGTAATTAAACAGAAATTTGTGTAATTGTATCAAAAAACAGCAAAAATGTACACATACGAATATACTAGAGGGGCTTTGTCTTTCTGCGCGTTTTAAGTGCCAGCCCTTACAAAAATTTGTTATTCCATGCTTTCTCAAATAATAATAAACATGTTTTCATAGATAACATATTTGTGCAATGTAAGACAGTTTTTACTCAGAATATGTGGAATAATAAGACACTGCTTGCATATACGTTTCATTTTTTCAACTTTTCCAGCTCCTAATATCCGTTCCGTGATAGTATTCTTTGATCTCATTTTCCTCTGACATTTAATGATACGCTTAGTATGAAGAATTCTCTTCCCCTTGATGAAATTCTAATGGTGTTTAGCACACAGTATTCAAATAAACCTACTGCTTTAAGCTTTATATATATCTGCTATTATTTTTTTAACCTGAAAAAAAGATAATTCAACTTTCATTATATTCCTCTACATGCAAATAATAACAAAATTTTCTTCTAAATTATTATAAATCTAATACCACAATTATTATTTATAAATTAACTTGACATGTTCTGTAAGTTGACTCATAACAATAATAACAAGATTGAAGATTCATCGTTGTTTCAATATTGGCTTCAAGTTAAAAAATCTAGTATTGGCTACTAAATTTTTTATGTGATTTTATTCAATTTTTAACTATTATTTTTTAATTTCATTTTTTCAATAATTTTACTATATAGTTTTAAGTGTACTTTTATTACGTGTTTTGATGAATTTCCATTCTAATTTGTTCAATTTTAATATTAATTTAGATGCTAATACGAGTAAAAATATTAGAATCATGAGCATTTAAAATATTAATAATTATAAAGTTAAAGTTGTTTCACTTAATATTAATGAAAATGCGTCGACTCAGTGGGCACCTGAAATCGAAAATTTAGATAATGTTTCTGCACCAGTGATTTATTTAAACGATAGTTCATTATATGAAAATATGCTCATTTTAAACGAATGTTCGACAGAAAGTCCAGTCCCAGAGAATTTGAATACAAATAGTTCTTTGAGTATAGAAATGAATACGGAAGAAAATATAACTTATGACTTAGAGTCACATAAAAGACGTGCCAATTTAGACTCCAAAAAAGGTAAGATGGATTCGTATATTTATTTATTCCATTCGTCGAACTCATAGACATTTTTAATTATAAAACATTGTAGATGTCACGAAAGACTTCAAGATACTGAGTGTAACTGTACAAAATAATCTTGAAATTTATGAAACCCCATGAAATCCAGTTGTAAATTCTGAAAAAAAGAATGAGAGTGAAACGATCAATATGCTCGCAGATTTGACTTCTACTTTTAATTATACTGATCCGAAAGTAGATACTAATTTACATGCCACTGAAAGTAAGTAACTAGAGGAAAAAATATGTACCCGATTTGTATGTAGAACTTCACCTTTACAGGCAACATAGCTGAAAATACTTTTACCAAAGCATTCACATTACCTACAGAATACTTACCTAAAAAAAAAGACAAAACTTACTAAAAAAAGCTTACCCAAACTTCCAGCAGCTGGAACATCTGATGAGTGGTGGAATGCTCAATTAGAAAGGCAAAAACAACAAAGATTAAAAAAAGAAAAAGCTGCTGAGAGAAAAAGATTGCAACATAAGAAAAAAAAATTAGAACATGAGAAGAAAAAAATAGCAGAACAAATGAGAGCATTTAAGGTGCAAAGTGATTTGTCGGGCGCAAAGTATGTCCTTTGGACGCTCAAGTTTGTACTTTGCACCCTAGGGACGTAATATACTATTTTTGAAATACGCATATGCATTTTTTAAAATCAGTTTTTACATTGCCGTTAATGTGTTAAACATTTTTTTATAATTATAAATCATTTAATAATAAAAATAAATTAAATTAAAAAACTATTTTATTTATTTCACTACTGAGACATAAGGTATTTTATTTCTAGGGCATTTTAACTTGACAGTATTTCATAACATGGACATCTAGTTGTCATGATAGTTTTCAAAATAATAATCGTTTATGAACTTTAAATAGTAAAAAAAAAAAATACTAGTGTTAAGAGGAAGGGTACTGCATAATGTATAAGCTATACACTTTATAATTTACCTACTTTAGTTAATTTAAATTAATAAAATATCAGTGACCTACAATATTTTCATTTCACTACTGAGCCGATCACCTGACCTATTGAACAAAATAGTAGTGAAGAAAAAGACGACAACCTATCTTAATCGAAAAATATAGAAAATAAAACTGATTACGATACCACGAAAATTTGTAATCGAAATATTTTACGGCAAGCAAACCATACAGCAGCGTTAGAACCCATACAGAAAAATTTTGAGCGAAAAGGTAACAAGAAGTGTAAGCCCTGTTGGAAATTTATCTCATATAACTTACAAAATAAATAAATTAACATTCTTAAGTACTTGTAAAAATTTATCTTATGCCCAGGATAATTACATTTATTTTATTACAGAAACTGTAGGGTCGAAATAAAAAAATCTAGAGCAACTATCAGATATAGGAGTTATATCGAAAAAATGATTATTAGATGTCCAACTACAATTAGGAGAAGTTATTACTAGAAAAAACCGAAATCCCTTCATATTCTTAATAGTCGTGAATAAAAACTCGACTAACAAAATAAAGCCTAGCATTTAACGAACATGCTTTAAAAATCTTGTAAATGCTATATCAGTAATGGAAGTCAACACTGTACGTATTTGTAGGAAAGGTGAACTCACCGATAATCTCCTTAGAGGAGAATTACCATTAATTTTATACGAAGAGTAACGTCACCTTTTTTATACATTAAAAATTTGTTTTAGCGCTTATTCTTATCAAACCCTAAAAACAGAAAGAAAAAATTAGTTGAAAGTCATACTAGCTTCTTCAGAGATCAAAGAGAAGTAAAAACTTTTAGACTAATGGAAGAAAAATATTATTGGAAAGGAATGCGCAATGACATTGCTGAAAACATACAAAAATGTTAAATTTGCAAGAAACAAAAGTAGTCCACACAAAAACCAGAAAACCTATGGTAATTATAGACACAACATAAGTATTTGACAAAGTCGCTATAGATACAGTAGGCCCTTTTCCTCAAAGGACGTCTGGAAATAAGCTGGAAATAAAATCGTTCTCAGTGACGGATCAAAATGTTTCATTAATCAAGTGTTAACAGAAGTATAAAAAATTAATTGATTCCGTTTAGCTCTCACTAGTGCATATTACCCACAATCGAATGTTTTCTTAAAGAAAAGCCACGCTATGTTAAACGATTTTGTGAGAACTAACGCTAAAAACAAAAATGACTAGAATAAAATGGTTTCCTTTGTAATGCAGGATTATAACACTTCAGTTTATTGAGTAACAGGCTTTACAACATTCAAACTTGTCTTTGGTACACAAACATGTTCTCCAAATCCTCCTCCAGACGAACTCCAATTAGAAACATACAGCTCATATGCTAGTGACCTTGCCCGCTGTTTACGCACAATACAAGAAATAGCTCGTGACAGACTTAAAATAACAAAACAAAATACAGAAACACGTTATGACAATAAGTTAAAGCCACAGAACTTGGAAGTTGGAATGACAGTCTATGTGCTCAAAGAACCCGAAAAAGGAAAATAAGATAGATTGTATAACGGAATTTTAAAAACTTAAGAAATACATAGTAATAATACCGTCATATTAAAATCAGAAAATGGAAGAATAACTTACAAACATATTGACAAAGTAAAATACTGCTACCCATAAGGAAAAAAATAAAAATAAAAAAAAATAATTATTTTGTTGTTGCAGATTGATCCAAACAATATGTTGACTGAAAACATTGCCTTTCTGCTTCTGCTAACGCTAAGGCTTAGTATTATAAAAAGCGAGGAAGAGATCCCTGCAAAATCCTACGACAACATACTATTAGTAAAAAATCCCGGTATATATTATGAGTACACTGACAAAGTCAGACTGAGTCGTACTAAATGGCACGTTACTATTACGTTAGATTTTCGTAGTATTGAAGACTAAACTGAACTATACCATGAACAGCTAGATACTGTGTTTGAGCAATGTACAAGAGTACTTAAAAATCAAGAACGTAAAAATTTAATACCTAGGTACACATTAAATAATAT